TTCCGATAGGCTCGTTTCACTTTGCTAAAACGAGTTTCAAGCAATATTTGAGGTTTTTTAATATTTGATATAATAAAATTTTTGTATGATCTCATATCATTAAACTTAATAGCTGAAAGAATTTTCTAAATCAGGGCTGCAAACAACTACATTATTGATACAAAACAAAAAACAGAATCGAAACAATGCGACGGACTATGACAAATGGTTATATTCTTTCTTCCTCAAAAACTACTGTCTCTGCAATTGTAAAATATTGAAAATATAATGCTAGTTCCACATACAAATATATATGGAATACTACAATACGTATATAGCCACCTTGCAAAAAGGTATACATCGCCGACAAAAACAGTGTTCTAATGTCCGTAAATGCAAAAAAAGAAAAATTATTGTATTAAAGTATAAAATGCAAATTGGAAGAAGCTTTATTTTTAAACTGCGCGTGTCGAAATTAATCGGACTACAAAACGTCGAATAGTGAAATGGGTAAAAATTGGGTAGTCCTTGCACTAACTGTTCTTAAATAGAAACCTCATCTCTTCAAGTGATTTTCTATGGTGCTGAATAAAAACGAAAAGCCCTTAGCGGGAATATATTTAAAACAAATTCTTGGGAGATGTCAACATCGAAAAGGCAACGGGCAACGATGAATGTTTTTGAAGCTAAATGACAATCAGGACTCCTCTGATATTTGTGTTTTTGAGCAATGCCTATCGTTAACCTTTTTCTATAATAATTTTAGTCCAATTCTTTGTAAGCTAATTAATTGGTAATCAATCATGACAAGCTCCGTGCACGGCTGTACATAATAAAAAGGCCTCTTACGTATCATCATGTTTTTAATTCCTGTGCTCATTGAAGGAGAATCAGGCAAATAACCGTAATTATTGTAGTAATGAGTATGTCCTTTTTTACGCCTATTTTGCTGTATTTTCAAAGTGTCGCCTTTTGCCAAAACCGGTCTCATTCCGTATTGATTGCCCTCCATCATTGATTGTCGCCACGTTAAAAAACAAAAGCACAGCAAGATTGATTATAACAAGGCCTTAAAGTAGCTTTACATTATAAAAGGCCGCGGGCTTTACAAGGGAACGACAAGAAAATCCTGTCAACACAGCATAACGAGTGACACACATAAACTCGTGCTATTATTTTATGTCAGTTTGTCACCTGTGTCGATACTCACGGTTATTAAAATTGGACAAAAATGCAAATTTTTGAGACAAAGTGTCAAGTGACGTCTTTTAAAAAGTCTGCTTTTTATTTTTACACCTTAAACACAGCAAGGATTAAGGACTCTGTAATGCTTTTATTTTTACAGTTTTCCGTTTATATTGGGAGTATTTTGCAAACAATCCAAAGGCAACAGCGCGAAGTTAGACTATTTGATTGCAGGGGACAAAAATATGCAGTTTTCTACTTTTTATATCTTTGTAGCTGTTGCCACACATGTCCTTACATAAATGTAACAGATTACAATAAAAGTTACAAACGTAAAATTCAGCAAACATCAAACTTTTATGAGCCTTTAGCGAAAATAGACGTACATAAGTCGCCAGCTATTGCTTATTAAATATTTTTAAAAATGTCTACAGCTTAACCCCAGAAGAGTTCACAAGTATGAAGCGGTCCGAAGCGATGTAGGCCTGAAACTCTTGGTGTGGGTCAAGAGGTCCAGGCATTTTCCTCATTGTAGTTTCAATATTTTTTATTAGATTGCTTTCGATTACTGGTGATTTCTACTACTCGTGACATTTTTTGTCAAATTGAGATTCTCACTTCCCACTGATGGCCGTAGTAAAAATAAATATTTTATATTTCAAAAACTGCTAACAAGACAGTGACGGAATAATTTAGGAGATAACACCGAAACTTTCCTCATAACCGTTTAAATTGTGTAATAAAATTGTTACGAAATGTAAAATTGCGTAGCATTTCGGTGAAGTACTTAAAATTACTTTGAGAAAGTAGAATGGTCTTGTAATTTTAGAAATCCTTTTTGTAAGTGGGTTAGACTTTATTTTGCAAATGTAAGTTGCAATGAAATTATATATATTTTTATAGGTTAAAGTAATATAAACATAATTTATAAAGCGATTAGAGAGTGTGAAGTTAGGAAAGTACACGTTTCTGCAGCGGCAAAAAAAAACACACATTTAAAACTTTTTTTACAACTTCGAGAAATATCATCACCGACGGTATTTTGTAGTTTAATCATTTTAAAGTTATTTAAACAGGTTTTTTATACGCTTAACCAGAAATAATTTCAGGACTCTGTCTTTATCATCTACCCAGAAATGACAGTTAAAATTTCCTTTCCTATACAACATCACATATGAATTTAAGTGAATAACGACATAAAAGAAATAAATATAAACAATATTTATATGTTTTAAGACTATGATATGTTATAGGTAAACCAATTAAATTTGTATATCAATTATATGCTTTTAAGTTACTTTTCATAAGGATCCACAGTTCTGTTTGTATCATTTCTTTTGTGATAAGTAAGGTAACTTAAAAAATTTTGATTTATATATATTTTAATATTTTGATTACAGTCAAACTTCCATAACTCGAAACACCATTTTGCAAAGAAAAGGTTCTACTTATGGATTAAGATATTTCTTTATTTATTTGAAATCAAATACAACACAGAAATTATAGTGGAGTAAAATATCAGAAAGGAGGGTTTCGGATTTTATTTTCTTTTTCTAATTTTCAGATTCCAATTTATTCCAACCCTTATAATGATCATCAGTTGGAGTACCATTCTTTCGTAAATAAAAATTCAAAATTTTAAATGAATCTTTTTAACCTCATCATACTTCCCACATTTTTAACATAATACCACGGATTTTACGCTGTTCTTTATTTTTTGTGCGCTATTTTACAATTTATTAAACAAGTAAACATTTTAGAGCCGAGTCTCGCAAGCAATTTCCTTGTCAAATTATGAAAAATAGTATGTAATAGATAAATGAATTGGGAATATTTAATATATTTCAACAAACCAGCATCCCACTGCCATACTTAGTTTAGCAACTAATGGATTTAATAACAATTCACGAATAAAATTCGCATTTACAACGGCTTCAGTATGTAGGAAACGACAATTTTTTATTTTTGCAAATGCAAAAATTCTTCTGGTAACTTTTATAGGTTGTCAAAAACCTATTTAATGGATTTGATGGAATAATTTTATGACGCTACTTTTTGATTTTACGACCTTTGCGCACTAGAAATTCAGTGGCAAAAAATGTTGCACGTATTGACTTCAAATTGCACTCAAAAGTCTGTAGAAATGTTGACATGATCGTAAAAATTCTCTTCAAATCAGGTGACAAAGCAAAAAGTTTCCCTCGTTCTCCTTCATTCGCACTTCTTTAACTTTTACGACCTAAATTGTGTCTTGAGGTTTGTGGATGAAGACGCATTGATTCGAAAATGATGTAACCAGATTTATGTACGCATTGGGAAATGTGTAGTAAAGCATCTATGTTAAGGCGGTCCTTAATTGATACTCCATATCTGGGCAAATATTTTATTTAACCGTATAAGAGAATGAAATTTTAATATAACTATTTAAAACAATTTTAAAACAAAAGCTTTTTATTATTATTTGGTACAAACACGCATTATTTACTAAAAACAATGAGTTTATCGCTTATCCTCACATCAATCGGAAACCGCAAAATGTCATTTCCCCAGAAACTTTTTCTTTCTGCAACAACTTGA